GGGCCGGGTTGGGATTGGGCGCGGCTGGGCGGGATGAAAGGGCGCGGGGCTGGAAGAGAAGGAAGCGAAGCAAGCTGGCTCACGAGGGCGGGCGGGGCGTCAAGGCGTGAACGCCGAACAAGCCCTCTGCACTGTTGATTGATGCATTAGGACGCCCAGCACAGGATCATGCAGGGGATGGACGAAGGGGCGTGGGAGAGGGCCGTGGAGCAAGCGCGCCAAGGTGAGCCCGCATCTCAGGTGGAGGCGCTCACGCTCGACGGCGTCGTCAAGTGCGCGCAGGGCAAGTTGCTCAAGTCCAAGGTCTTCGCCTCCTTCTCGCAGCTGAAGCGCCTGTCGATCGCCAACGTCGGGCTTTCGTCGCTGGCTGATTTCCCGTCGCTGCCGCACTTGGAGCGGTTGATTTTGAGCGACAATCGAATCGCCTCGGGGTTGGAGCATTTGGTGTACGCTGGGCTGAAGTCGCTGCGCGAGTTGGATTTGTCCAACAATAAAATTCAAGCCGTGGAGGACCTGAAGCCGCTGGCTGAGTTGAAGCTAGAGTCCTTGGACCTGTACGAGTGTCCCGTGACGCGCAGCATCAACTATAGGGCTAAGGTGTTTAGTATGATGCAGTCGTTACGGTTCCTCGACAAGACCGACGTGAACGGGAATGAGCGGCCCGAGTCGGACGAGGAAGAGGAGGAGAGCGAGGAGGAGGAGGACGTTGATGACCTCAATGGCGATGGGCTGGAGGCAGAGGGCGAGGAGGAGGAGGAGGAGGGTGTAGAGGGGGACTCGAAGGGTGCGGCCGTGCACGAGGAGGACGACGAGGAGGGGGAGGAGGACGAGGAGCGAGACGACGAGGGTGAGGACAATGAGGAGCTGGAGGACGAAGAGGAGGACGAGGGCGGGAGTTACCAAGAAGAGGTGTTGGTGGCGGCGAGCCGTGGCTCGGCGGTGCAGGGGCAAGTAAACAACGAACACGGCAGCGACGAGGAGGAGGTTGAGGACGAAGAGGACGACAATGTGGAGGTGCAAGACATCGAGGAGGAGAGCGAGGAGGAGGAGGAGGTTGGAGAAGAGGATGATGAGGACGCAGTGGTGGACGAAGAGGAGGAGGACGACGAAGAGGGTATTTGGCACACCTCTGAGAACCCCCCGTTTTTTTCTTTTTTTTCTTATGTGTTGGTTTTTTTCTTCTCATCGCCCGCTCGTTATTCTTTCGGGGTTTGTTACTGCGGGACGGGACCCGGGAGGACGCAGCGTGCATCCGGTCGATAGCACCATGGCTGTCCGTCTAGATGGTGGCCTGTGTGTGTGTCTCCTCATCCAGTGCGGTGATTTTTGCGCTCTTGTTTGCGGTCCGTTCCTTCTGAAAGGGAATACTGGTGGTCTGCGACGTTCTCCTGTACCCTAAGAATACTTGGAAAATAAGATAGCACCGCCATGGTGTAGGGTCGATCGCGAGGTGTTGTCGGGTAGGGGTTTGTGACGTATGTCATCTGTGCTGATGTTGTGGGGTGCTGTGTGTGCAGAGCCAGCGAGCGGCGCGCTGGTGAGCACAGAGGGTGAGCTGGACGTCCAAGAGAACGAGGAGGACGATAACGGGGAGTTGGGGGAGGACGAAGACGAGGAGGAGGTGGAGGACGCGGTGGACAACGAGGAGGGCGAGGAGGAGGTGGAAGAAGAGGTACACACACACACACACACACACACACGTGCACAGTGGATGTCATTAGTGTCGCAGAGCACAGGGGTTACCCTAGACAAAGGTTGAAACTTGGGGGTGGGTGGGGAGACGGCGTCTGGGCGTGCGCTTCGTTGTTGGCCCTTGTGATTTTTGTGAGGGTGGGGGAGGTGAGTAACGACTTTAGTAACCGCAAGGGAAGTTCCACCGGCCTGCCTGTGCATGCTTTGTTGCGTAGGAGCCCCGGCGCACTTGGCAGACCGTTCATGGTGTTGTAGTGCTGCAGGAACTGTAGGAGCAAGTTTGAGGTCAGTTGTACTCGGGAACAAACCGTCTGGCGCAGTGGTAGAAGTAGGGTTTGCTTATTGAAGCGGGAGAGCGTCTGTGGGTGCTGGTTGTGATGGTCCAGGCCTCTGACGACGCGTGTTTTTGACTGTGTGTGTGTAGGATGACGAGGAGGAGGAATACGGAACGAAGTACCTGGTGCAACCCATCATCGGGCAGCCCGAGGAAGACGAAGGAGCCAGCGACTTCGAGCCTGGCGAGGATGACGAGGAGGACGACGAGGACTTTGAGGACGAAGAAGACGACGTGGTGGAGGTGGCACGGGAACCGGAGGCGATAAGGCAAGGAGGGCGGAAGAGGACGAGGGACGAAGCCGGCGAGAGCGAGCAACGGCCTGCAAAGCACTGATCGAGTCTTTTTGCGGAGAGACGAGATAGTTGCCAGTTTTCTTGCCCCGGTGTTTTGCCCGCAGCACTGATCGAGGCTAGTACCAAGGTGTTCGGTGTTTGGTGGTCGGACCACCGATACGTTCGATGAGCCGCGCAAGGAGACGAGAAGTTTTCTTTTCTTTTCTTTTCTTTTTTTTTTTTTCTTTTTTTTTTGCCTCGCGGGACGAGGCAGAGTCTCGAGCGGGGTTTGGGACTGACGGGCAGGAGAGTAGGTCAGGTGGCAGGGAGCTCCCCATAACCAATTCTTTGTAACAAATGTACAAGTAGCACGATAGGGACATGGATCTTGGGGTTGCAGTTAAGAAAGGGGTTGCGAGTTATATCGGACGGGCGAGTCTGCCAGCCTCGCAAGCTGCCGCGCTTTGAAAGCGGACGGCGTCCGGTTCGAGGATGGCAAGGGGCGAGCAACCCCCGGTTTGTAGGTAGAATTTTGAGATAGCTGATACAAATTCGAGCCGATTCTGAGATGAGGACTTTTGAAAGTTTGCAGCCTCCTTGTATGTTTCCGCATGGGGCGGATGTATTCACCTCGTATCTGCCTGGGTTGTGCAGCTTCTTTCGTCAATACGTTGTCCCTGTTAAGGTGTTTATGGTAGGCATTTGTTGGATAAGTGTTCTTTAAATAAAGCCGTGTTGGGACATGTGGTTGCGTGGTACGTTGCTGGTGCGTGGGGGAGGAATGGAAAAGGGAAATGTGTTGGGAGTGGGCGGTAGCGGTGTCCCGGACATTTATCATTTGATATGATTTAAGCACGTCGAGGGCGCCGACGCATGGAATGTTTTCGTCCTGCCCGAGTTCGTTAGCCATCTAGCGACAGGAGTTACGGGTAGTGCGGGTTGTCGGAATCTCGAAATCATGGTTCAAATCGGTATAAATCATGGCGTTGCTGGTGGCATTTGCCTGGTGCGGAGGTGACGGTTTCGAGCGACGTGATGAGTGAGTCGGGTGGTTTGAATGCCGCGGCAGCGGCTGATAACCAGGAGTTAAATTCACGGAGACTCCCACAGGTCCGCATTATCGTGTTACGAAACACAACGTGATAATCCTTTGTAGTTCGATTGTGCTGTGATTCTGGGGTCGCCTCCACTTGTTCTGTGCTGTATGCTTCGAGTGTAGTAAATGCAGGAGTTGAAGGATGCCTGAGTCGTCGGTGCCTGTGGATTTCGAAATCTGGACGCGGGTAGTGTCGTTGTGAAGTCTTGTTCTGTACCCGGGCGCTTGTCTGTTGACTGATTTACTCATGTGGCCGCATCAGACGCCCAACTGCGGGAGTGCCAATTGCGATTGTGCACTTGATCGTGTACGTGGTGTGTTGTATGCCCGCAATGTGGTTTGTGTAGAGAACGAGTTTTGTGGGCTTGGATGTGGGGGTGAAGTAGAAACGGAGAATTGGAGTCATGATCCTGGTTCCCACAACAGCGAGGCTGTTGTTCTGGACCAGTGACTGGAGCGGCTGTGTGGGGGCGCCGATGTAGCAGGGAGGGGATGTTTCATAGTTATAATCCAACAATGGGTTAGGTGTAAAGTGTGCTTTGGCTGACCCGCCAGAGTGAGTCGCAATTCTCAGCATCAGGGGACCTGGAACGTTTCTGAATGTGGTGTTGTGTGTGCTTTCTCTCGAGCTATGTTTTGGTGGTGGTGCTGTGTACTAGGGTCTGTTGGAGAACGGTGTGGGTCTGGACTATACGGGCAATACTTCGGCTTGGAGATGGTGTGGAGTAGCTAATGTTGCGTAGGAATGTGGCTTTGTCATGTTAGGTTTGACGGTTGTGGGTTGAGAATTTTCAAATTGGAATAAGCACTGACGTATGAGTGTTTTTTTTTTCTGATGATAAGGCATTATACACGCAGCAATTAATTTCAGTTGGAATTTTCTTTTTATTGTAACATATATGTGGTTATG